ACTAAAAATTCTATAGTCAATCTTAAATAAAGCCGTGTAAAGGGAATGCTTATCAGTTCAGTTTGGACTACTGTGTATTTGTTCGGGTGAGTTGTGACTCATTCTAGTGTAAAACTGAGAACTTTATGAAAGACAATCTTCGTCCATTTTCTTTTCGATCATTGTCGAACAAATCGATACAATCGATAGCTAATTACAAAAATCGATCAAAATCGATAGTCACAAAGACGCGAGTAATCGATTTCTATCGATTTCCAATATTAATCGATTGATTAGTATCGATTACGATCGATTACGTTCGATTTCTATCGAGTATCGAAAATATCGATTAGATACGCCCTGCTACATACCAACTAACTGCGGTGAGCCAAAAGATGTGATCTCGAATTTAAGTGTAAGAGATGGCTACAGACGTGCGACAGCCCATATCGATGAAGACCCTTACAACATTTGCTGTACTATGGAAACTGTTAACGAGTGCGAAGTGAAATTGTGGAAGGCTGCTGAGCTTCCTGTGAAGCTTACGAAGGTTGACAGTAGCATGACTTCCCTCTACGCCAAGGAACTCAGTGAAACACTCTACGTGAGAACTACACGTACATGGTGTGTTGGTGAAATGGATTCATTGACACTTGAACTCCGTTATATTAACCGTGCAACAGTTAAATTAAGAACTGTATTAAGAAATTCTTCAATTCCGCAATTATAATGGTGTGTTAACAAAATCTACGAAGCGATATGTATCATTATATCATGTTACAATCCGGTCGTTCGCATTGGCCTCGTGTATATTTTCCTACATGATTTGCTGACTCTATGCCTTACAACAAAGTTTAATTTCGATTAATTGCGTCGACTAATGTTCAGAATAATTGATGATATCCGTAGACTCAAACCAGACCTTTTCATCGAAGAGAAAGAGTCCATTGTTACAATATCAGCGGCGAGTTTTGCTCTTTGGATTAAAATAGATCCACTCTTTGAAAGAGAAATGTATGATGACAGGACGTCTTCCTCCTTTTAGCTGCATGGAGTTTTCTTAGAGAAAGGGAAAAGTGAAAAGCAGGGAGATAAGCGATAAGGCTTCATTATAGAAATGGTTGCCTTTTATTTACAATAAAACATACCGAGGGCGAACATCCCTTTCCATTTCATAAATTAGATAAACATTCACTTTAAAATAACGATAAAGGAGTCGTGGATATTAAACAATGCAACGACTTGCATTAACAAATGAAAACGAAAACCGCCCAGCTGATGATCTGTAATCCAACTACGCCAGACTGCCCGTCCATCAGGCTGCCAGTCTGTCAGACAGTCCTGCTGTCAGCTGACTGTCAAACTGTCAGGCGTTCCGACTGTCAAACTGTCTGTCTGTCAGACTGTCCAGCTGTCCCATCTGTCAGACTATCTAGCTGTTTCGTCTGTCAGACTGTCCGGCTGTCCCTTCTGTCAGACTATCCGGCTGTCAGTCCCGTCTGTCAGACTTCCATGCCAGCTGTCAGGCTTTCCGACTGCCAGACTGCCCAACTTTCACACTATCCGACTACCAGCCTGGTCACTTGTCTGGCTATCAGGCTGTCTACTTTCTTTAGTTTCTAGCTCAAATTCTGTCATGATCATCCTGTGGTCAGACAGCGTAAATTCCTTAGGCCATTCCTAACAACAAATAAAAAGCAAAAAAAAAAAAAAGGTTAGTGACAGTGGTTTGATATAAATCCATCCCCATCTACATTGCCACTTCATCCGGTCAGCATTCTCTTTACTTAGTGCCATAAACTTCTACAAAGATATTTCTTCACACCCAGGTCCCGTCCATCTACACCGGAGAAATTTGAAAAGGGAGCTTTCACCCTGAAAACCCATCAGTTGTTTTCCTTCCACAATACGCCGGACAAATTTGGAAACGCAACAACCACCCGTCATTTTGAATTTGTGCTTGAGGAAAACTCGGTCAGCGAAATCACCTGATTATCGTGACGTCATTGAAAAGCTCTGTTTCCAAAATGCTTTTCGCCCGCACTAAAACGCAAAGCCGGCGGTTTCAAATTCCTCTGGCTTGAAGACAATTACGAAAAAGTCCGATCCGTTTTCGTGACGGATTAGTGTGGACGGTAGGTCTAACCGCAGAAATAAAGCTGCGTATTCAAATTTCTCCGGCGTGGTATGGACGGAGCTTAACGGTGGCTCTCTCCTCTTTAAATTGGAATATTGTTGGAGCAACTAACAGAATCCTGACAACGAAAGGCAGAAGAAAAATGCAACAACGAACTTCTCATCTACTAAGAGCAGCAAAATTACTTTTCACTTAAAGTCAAATATACTACAGTTTAAGGTGGCTGTTTCACCATTGATTGGGCATTTGTGATACCAATATTGCAATTAACATCGCCTTATAAAGTGTAGTATTGACCCGTCAAAATATACCTTCTGGAAAGTGCCAGAAACTATTGCCAGCCACCTCAAGTCGCCAGTACCAAAGCGCAGTCTGACACTATCGAGACTTGGTACAGAAATTGTCTTTGGTCATCTGACTTCAAAGTTAAAGAATCATTAAGTTTTTTTTTTGTCATGCACTGCTAGGGATATCATAACTTCATGAAGTGGCAACGTAACTTCTGGAGTATAATTATAAGATGGTGCTAGAGACGTGACAAAGTTAATCTTACCTCATCACTGTATTCTGCGGGCAAAACCATGGACTGTTTGGGAACAAGGTGACAAGGGGACGAGTTCCTAAAAACAGCAAAACATTTTTTTCAAAAAAGTTAATAGGACGAATAGTCCTTCAAGAACCATGGGTAAAGCAACATTTTCGTCGATTTTCACGAGTCAAGCAGTGGCATTTTTTTTTTCTTTTCTTTTTCTTTTTTTCTTTTATTTTTTTTGCGGTTATGTGCGTCTCGCACTCTCGATTTTTTCACAAAGCTGTTTCGGAGTCTCGATTTGTTTGCAAGGCTTACCAAAGTCTCGATATCTCGAGTTTTTTAATTGTTTATAATGAGGTCTGAACGTCTTAGAATCTAAACGCCTCACGCTTGCATTTAAGACACTTTGAAATCTCGGATGCGCACTTTAAAAAAGTCAAATTAATGTAGATCGGGCTAGCAAAGATAAACGCTAGATTCTTCTTCGCGCAAAGTCTCGCATTTATCCTATTCACCACCCTAATGCTGAAGTAACAACAGCGACGACACCTTAAGAGAAAGATTACAATAGTTAATATTCAAGCTACTGTGGCGTTTTACACTTGATGCAGTACAAAAACACGCCCATCATTTCATCAAAATCGAATCAAAAACAATCACAAGATGTTCGGTAAAAAGGCAAACAACTGACATTTTTTATCTACATACATCATGATAGCAGGTTCTTCGACAGTAAAACAAAAGCAGACAGAAGTATTTTCAGTTGCTTGAAAATTATAACACTCAAGACTGCAGTCGTGAACGTTTACCTGTAAAATATATAATCTACCAGGATCTCTTCTCCACTGTAGAGTCTGTGTGTGACTTGCGGTTCTCTGTTGTGAACGGTTTTGTAAGACGATGTAAAGCCATTTTCCACGAGATAACTGTAAACGGCATCGTCTGGGCAGCCATTAAAATCTCCTGCTAACACCACAGGCACATGTTGTACATTATTCCTGCAACAACAGAGGACAACAAGTTAATGTCAGCTACACATGATGGCTTTAAACAGATTTATTTCAATTGATTGTGTGAACGAATGTCATGTTTTCCTTCCTCGCCAAGTTTTGTTTCACACGTTTTAGCTGCTTCGATAAAAAAATAACATTAAAAGAACATTATTTGAAGCCACAGCATTCTTTATGCATCACTGCTTACACTTCGACTTAAGCCGGAAGATGTTATGACTGGGTAATTAAGCAGATCGAGATAACAAGAAACAGCCTAATACACTTGGACACAACAGTGGAAAAGCCCCGGGGGAGACCTCCCAAGTAAAAAGGACACGGGTACTCGTCGTACCTGTTAGGGATCGAAAAGTCGTTTTTGGTATCTCTCAGGGTGTTCAGCCTCAAAAGGTCCACAGCAGGAGCTTTGATGGTACCTTTTGGGGTATTGAGCCAAAAACAGTATATAAACAGGAGATATCTGATAATCAACTTTTCGAGAAGGTATCCAAAGCAATTGTTTCTATCCCTATTAAAAATTATGACAGTGTGAGTTTATGTGTTGTTTTAGAATCGGTGCCCTTAAGGGGTAAAAAAAAAAACAGTCATGCAACGCCCAACAAAAGGGTTTTGGGACCTCTTTGGGGTTTCTTTTCAGAATTTCTGACGAGCACCCCTGCACTTTTTATATGGGAGTCCCTCGGTTGAGGAGGGGGGGGGGGAACGGGCTTCATATGATGTATTCAGAAGCTGCAATACTACACCAACGCACACACTGCAGATGGCATCTCTAGCAGTACAGGCAAACAGTCCAACATTTTGGTAATTTACGTGACGTTTTTTTAAGAAAATTTCTCATTCAATACAGAATTGTTATTTGCTATCATAGTTAGTAAATGAGGAAGTTGAATTTATTCATCTAGGCCGGGTTGTTCAAAGCCCGGTTAAGCTAAACTAGGATTATAGAATATTCTACTTTCATTTTTGTAACTTTCCTTTAAGGTTTTCTGTTTATAATTGCATTGTTTGTCCTTCAGTTTTGAGTTTGAATAATCCCAAACTACACAAAACATAAGCAGTCAAAAACACTTTTATACAAGAAAAATGAACACTTTCGTAACTTTTAATCCTGCATTGGATGGTTAGCCGGTTTTGGAACAACCCGGCCCTGGGATTTATTAACTTATCTGAAATTGAGCTAAATATAATTTTTACAGAAACTAATATTATTTAATATACTAAGAAGGAGAACAAACAACATTGATGACGCAAAGATAGCGCTACTGTAATTGTATCAATTTGACGTAACTTTTTAAATTTCACAAATAAAAGAAATTCTTACTTTTCCTGATAGGATTCAATTTCACTTTTTACTTTCTTTATTTGCCACTATAAAAGAGAGAGAGAAAAAAAAACATTAAAATTACAATGTTGGTAGTAATCATCAAAAAGAGAATGAAAAAACATTACTTATAATAACCCATAAAAAAATACATTGTCGTGAAATGTTCATGATTGTTAAAGACATTTTACTCTTGATAGTAACTACAGTAAGGTATAAAAAAAAAAATTAAATAAATAAAAACCACAGTAAGGTATATGATACATGGATTTTCATTCCTTGCTGTATACATGAAATAATTCATTATCTGACGAGCTGAGCCTCTCAACCAGACATTCAACACTGAATATATTCAGAATGTTGAAAACAAATCAGAGCAAGGGTTTACTCCACAAAAATTGAGCCTAAATGTACAAGAACTGCAGCATGTCTATACCTGCGATTGCAAATGCTTACCATTCTCAGAAATTGGTCAATGTAATTTGAGCAATATGTCAAATGTGTTGTCATAAGAATAACCTGATGAAAAGACAAAAACAAAAATGTTCTGATTAAATGTTACAGCATGATCATGAATGCACTGAATAAATTTCTGACTGTGAACTTTGGATTGCAAGGGTTGGAGTAGTCACTTACAATAGTTGAATCAAATATCACAAACTTGGTTAAACAAACCTTTGTACATACAGTAACAAAAAAACCTGTGCAATCAGATATTTCCCCAACTGTTACTCTAGTACAAGAATATTGAATCTAACCAGGGTCAGGATTAGACAGAGTGGTTACCAATAAGTACAGTTAGAAGCTAGTGAATACACCAGTTTGTAGTGGTTTGTGCTAAACAGATACCAGCTAGTTCTTGCAGTAGGCAGCAGTCAGCTTCCAAGGGCTACATAGCACCTAGCAGTCAGTGGCAGTTACTGTAAGGATATCATTTTAAGGGTGCCTCAGCATACATGTCCTTTGTGCAAACCCTCAACTACATCTCAGGGTTGAGTACCCATCTCAAATTTGCCAAACCCCCTCAAGTTTAAATGAGGCTATGAAACACGGAAAAGTGCTCTATTACTTAATTTTAAATATTACTAATAGTAAGGAGAGCCCTATGTGCATAGCACTGTGTGTTAGTTAGTTAAATAAATGTACCTCGTGTTCCTCTGGTAACAGGAGATGCACCAGTAAAGCCACTCGACGATTCATATCATTAAACCAAATAGGACTTATGGACAGGATGCTGTAAAAAAGCAGTCAGAGTAGAACATTTATTACAATTATATGTAATTAACAAGTAATTTGGCAATAGCACCATGTAGACATACACAGTACATGTAATTTTTTTGTTGTTCAAGATTGTTAATCGTATAAAAACAACAACTTTTCATACATTCATTATTTAAGTAAGTAGTTCATATATGTAGTTCCCCATATGATGAAAAAAAAAAAAAGATAAATAAAATTATTAAATAAAAAGGTGTTAGCATTGGTTGCCCAACATAATCATGAGGGACGAGAAAACCAGGGCAGCTGTTCTAGTCTTACAATATATATTAGGTCACAGAACAATATTAATAATGCATACATGTTATTATAGGAACATGTACACAACACATGTACATGACATCACACCATGAGCATGCACACACAGAAAGACTATAAGCGCTACATTTGTACATGTAGATATTCTGGAAGTCAGAAACAACACAAAAAGTAAAATAAAAAAATTCAATGTGTAATTCCACAAAATGTCCATACCTCCTGCACGGAAGGGACTTTTTGTAAGACCCCCCACCCCTCTGGAAATTCCAATTAGGCTTCATTCATTTCTTTAAATTTTTTGGTCTTGCTGAACCCCTACCCCCCCAGGAAATTCCAATCCCTTCTGTGGGGGCAGTGGGCATATTTTTTGGAGCTGCACAATAAACAATACACAATAAGCCTCCTAATTACCCATGATAAGATGGCCTGAACTGTTAGTAACATGACAATGTCCAAATGTCTGGTGCCAAGCATTTTCTTTCCGTTTTTATGGCCTGTAGCTTAAGCATTTAGAGCTATCTACCTGCCCCCCTACCCCACCCCCCTCCCAAAAAAAAATAAACAAAACAAACAAGAACTACTATTAAAGCAAACATTGACAAACCTGACAGCAACCATAATTTAATTACAAGGATTAAGTATAATTATTTTTACAACTAACTTAACTTACTTTATTGAGCGATCAACCAAAATTGCTAATCCATCTGTCTTAAATCCTGGCCTTTTGAGCTTAACTATTCTATACCTGAAAAGAAAAGTTAATCATTATGTTGGAGAATATTACATGTAAACTGTATGCACATTTTATTGCAGTGACAAGTTATCTTCCAAGCAAGCCACAACAGCCAATATGGGACATGAATTTAAGTACATGTAGGTACGTTATATAGAGTTGCAAACAGGCCATTACTTTTGCACAGTGTCCTTCAGTAAGCTATTAATAATCCTTGTGCAAGGCATGGTGATCTCTTGGTTAGTGCAACTGTCTCCAGATCGAGCAGTCTGGGATTGAGCCCTAAACTAGGACATTGTGTTGTGTTCTTGAGCAAGACACTTCACTCTCACAGTGCCTCTCTCCACCCAGGTGTATTAATTGGGGTAGCCCTACAATGGGCTAGTATACCATCTAGGGGGGAGTAGAAATACTCCTGATCACTTCATGCTGTAGAGACCGGGATCAGCTCAGGTCTGATGGGCCACTAGGCTCATATGCACACTTTACCTACCACCTCATACAAATAACATGTGACACTACAAGTCAGGGTCTGAAATTAACTTTTTTAGGCAGGCGCCAACTGGCGACTGAAGTTTTTTTTTCAGTCGCCATATGGAAAAATGTGGTTGCCAAAAAGTGTCAGTAAAATTTTTCCTTCACAGCGAAACACAAACCAAAATTTTTGGCCGCCATATGGAAAATTCTGCTCGCCAATTTTTCTTTTAAGAATCAGAACAAAGAGAACGCGTTTAGGGCCGCAATGATGGCGATTTTTCCGCTAACGATAAGATTAAATACAAACACGCTGATTATTCATACACCTACCACTGAAAACCCATATATGCAGTTTCGTGCAACTGCCCAATGTTTCAAGTCAATTTTATACCTTCTCTTGTCTCTACCTTTAGGGACAGAAATGTACGCGACTGAAAACTGCCGTTTGGTTCTTTGCTCTATGTGCAAAACGATCTTTCCTTTTGCGTTCTGTCAAGACGGCCGATGGATCGCCATGTTGAATATCGAAATCTTCCACTAATTTCTTCGTGGATGTTCCATCTGCACTTTGTAATAAATTACGGAAAGAGTTCAGGACATCTTTGGACACCACATCGCCTGAATAAATGTTCATGGCGAAAGAACGCATGTGGCCTTCTGCGCCCGCAATACTTATGTTATGGGAAACCGCTGGAAAAACATGGCGGCAAAGCTTCGCACTGATCGTAGCTGTGAAACGTTGTGCTAAATTTATAATAACAGGAAAATTGGTTTTATACTTCAAAAGCAGTGGAAAGGTAAAAATTAAGTGACCAATTGGTGGGCGGCTTTGAATTTTATTGTGTAATTATCGTGGCTTGAAATAGTTAATCGCCCGCTGGCGACCAGCTGTGAAATTCTGGTCGCCAGTGCAAAATTTTTAGTCGCATTGGCGACCAGGAAAGTGCAATTTCAGACCCTGCAAGTAGCCATGGTCTCTGAAAGTCAGAAGCTTATGCAGGGATAGTTTCACACCTCCCCCTCCTCTCCCCCCCAAAAAATAATTCAAGTTTTCAAATTTAATGACCTAAATGTGACACATACATGTAATTTACTTACTTTTTATCAAACTGTGAATCAAAGAGTTCCATAACATCATCATGAAACCAAAATTCCTGAAGACAAACCACATCTAAGCTAGGTGTCTGCTTAGAAATGAGGTCTTTAATAGCATGAAATCTTGGCAGGTACAAGTTGGGTTTGGAGCTTTCACACTGGTCCCACCAACCACTGAAAAATTTAATATATAAATTAAGCCAAGCCTAAAAGTGGAGCTCCTGGGCTGGGCTGTTCAGAGCCCGATTAAGCTAACCCAGGATAAGCAAGAATTTTCATGAGTTTTGTAACTTTGCAGTGAGGTTTTCTGTATATTGTTTGGCCTTCTGTTTTGAGTTTGAATAATCTCAAAATACACATACATGTCACAAAAGCAGTGAAAAACACTTGTACACAAGAAAAATCTACTGGTCATTCAAGACTTTATCCAAATCCTCTTCACAGACACGTTGAAAACCCAAAGAAGCAGCTGTCATTTTGGTAACAAATGCACAATGCTACGCTACTCACTATCTATCACAGAATAGAAAGTGAGTAGTGTAGCCAATCAGAGAACAACATTTGTGATAGAACGCTAGTAGATTTATACTGAAAAATAATACACCAGCTACTGTTATTAAACAGCTGAAGATTATAACATTCTTAATCCAACATGCACTCCCATTGGTTGATTTTGCTCACATGGCAATGGCTAAATCCAAATGTTGCCTAGAAGGCAACAATTAACTACAGTATTGCCCACTCCCCTGCTAACCTTAGACAATATTTTGACTTCTCCTTGATTAATTTCTAAACTCCAGCTATAGAACAAAACATTTAATCACTAGTCCCTTGGGAAACAGCTAGTTTTGTTTTCCCTTCAATTTCGATGCTTGGGAAACATCAAGATTCTCAAACAAACAAAATGAATTGTTTCCCTTGTCACCAGTGACGAAGTACGTATATCAAACAAGACAGAGCGAGAACCTATTTAAACAGTACTGCCAGCATCAGCTGGCTGTAAAATGATTATGCTGTCATGACACTGATCAGTCTTGAGTGGGTTTACTACATGTTATTCTTGTACCTCCCCACCAACAACCATTCTAAAGGTTCTAGTTTTGGTTCATACTTTCCTTCGTTAAACATTTTGGCTTTTAAGACCCCCTCCAACTTCTAAATTCCAAATATCTTCCTAGCAGTAGGTGACAATTAATTATTTTTTGTTCAGTCAGACATACATGTAATGAATGAGGATTAAAAAACAAACATTCTAATATCCATGTTTCTATCCACAAGTCCTTATTATTGTTACTGGTATTCCACTTATCCACATGTACATATATTACATAACATATATTTGAGAATCCTTCTCGGGCTTCTGCGACTTGAATTTAAGAGTCTCCAGTACTGTTCCTTCTTGTTGTATCTTAGAGGTACTTCACCTTGCCTAACTAGTAAGCTCATACATGTACCATAAAATCCAGTGATACTCAAAACCACTCAATTACTGGTCCCTTAGGAAAAAGTGAGTTTTGTTGACCTCAAATCTTGATGGATATCCCTTGTCCAAGGAAACATCACGATTCTCTGGAAAACAAAACTTACTGTTTCCCTCAGGATCAGTAATTAAGTGTATATTTACATATTCATTTGTTAAGTAGCTGGAGTTTAGTTGAATCTAACAAGTGCTCTTATTGGTTGATTTATGGTCATGTGGCATTATGGATTAGCCTAACTGTTGCCTGGTGGGTACCAATTTTCGTAATATTTGCCCGCTGTCCAACTAACCAGAGGTTACTTTGATTTTTTCTAGCCTTATAACTTCACACTAAACTTCAGCTACAGTATATAATAAAACACTTAATCACTGATCACTGTCCCCCGGGAAACGTAATAATGTTTTCTCTAACATCTCGATGTTTCCCTTGAGCTGGTCTCAGGAAACACCAAGATCCTCTGGAAAATAAAACTTACTGTTTCCCTCGGGACCAGTAATTTAGTGTACAATGTCGATATCAACCTCACCTTAACCAATTGTAGCATGGTGCTAACACATTGAACGTTGCCACACGCATCGTCTGTTTTGCCTCTGTTTGTTCGCTCATAACGTGAAGAACTCGACGAGACGTTAAAAGCAAGAAATTTCGGAACATATAGTGGTAATCCCATGCTAACAACACTGAAATCTTCGAACGAAACGATCAACGTTCGCCATTATTTTGACGTGGACGATGAAACTGGTCAGCGGACGAACTGAGCCGCAGAAACAATCCGTAATCCGTGGAATGAGTCACAGACTGTTAAACGGAAGCGGAAGTTTGATACAGCAGTGAAAGAGCGTGCTTTTCCTTTCTTAGGGAGCAACACATTTTTATTTGACCCGTCCTCCCCAAAGTTTTTGGCAACAGTGATGTGCGGCCGAACCTTGAAACCTGCACTCTATTTCAGACCGAAATCTGTGACTTTCCATACCCTCTTAAGGCATTACTGTCCAAGCAACCAAGGTGTTAGAAAAAAACTGCGTGTGATCTTGATTTTAAGACGATCTTTTTTGGGGGGTGGGGAGTCTATTAATTAGAAACGGGGCGTTTATTAGAGAGTGGCGTCTATTTCACACTCTACACCGCATCAGGGGGTATTAAATGGATAGGAGGCGTTTATAAGAGAGGTGGCATTTGTTAGATCATTAACGGTAAAGGAGTACCTCCAGGGCCCCTACTACAAACGGCAATCACTGTGTTACGTATGCATGTTTCTAGACAAAAACCTCATCTGCGCATGCAAACTAACATTACCTCCGCTTCGAGTCAACGAGAAATGACTTTAACCCTTTCACGACCAAATGGTCACGAAAAAAAAAGCCGTTTTTAACCGTTAAATCAGTTTTTTGGCTGCCATGAGGCTAAATGGGCCTTATTTTTGCTAAAAAAAAAAGCTATTGTTTACCAAAACAATTGATTTCCCCAAGATTAGGTACAAAAATGTAGAATATTTTAATTTGGTGCATGTGCATAACCCAATATAGATATATATTTTTCCGATTGCCCGTTCCGAATTTTTTCCTTTCGTTTTCCTCGGACCTTTTCTCTCGCTACCTTTTGCGTTTCATATTCTTTCTGGCTGCCGTAAAAAATTGAGTGTTAAATATGGGCAGAGCCTGGAAATGGGACTTTGATCAACTATAGGTATAATGGGCCGTTTTATCATGAAGAATACAAAAGCAAAAACCGACACAACGTGGAATGATTTTTTGAAGGTGTACTATATTTCGGCTGGCCAAACCAGCCTTCTTCCAAACCAGCCTTCATTGTACCTGAAGAAGGCTGGTTTGGTCAGCCGAAATATAGTACACCTTCAAAAAATCATTCTACGTTGTGTCGGTTTTTGCTTTTGTATTCTTCATTTTATATGTAAAGCCGATTAGATCACTATTGATCCAACGTATACCAGCAGGATCATCGTTCCGGTTGCTTGCTTAAACATTTTATAGCCATTTTATCACCAGTTTTGCACCAAAACTGATAACGTTGTTTTTTAATTTGCTACGTCAGAATGCCGTCGATATCCAAAAGCGACTGTTGTGCAGATAGATCTATCCTAGTTCTACCATCTGCTTATCAAGAATATCTGGTGACATTTAAATTGATGACGTCACAAGTGGTACAAAGAGCACGACCATAAAGTAGCCATATATAGCTCCCTGGGCGTTTACCTTCACAGCGACTCCTTTTTGCTGGTTCTCGTGCCCAAAAGAGGACTAAATTTGGATAAAAATAAAATTTGTGTCATGTATATGGCGTATATGGTAATTGACTGGACTTACACGGATTGACCGAGGTGAGCTAAAGAGAACTGGGAACAAAGCAAGGAAAAAACCAAAAAAGAAAAACTGCTTTTCGCATCATCAAATGCTAAAAAGAAGGAATTGCGTAAATCGTAATGGATATCAAACTCCCAAACCGCAAATTTTAAGCGCAAAAACCGAAACCCCCATCTAAAAGCGACCACACAAACCATAGAACCGAAAACACTAACTTCCCCTGGACTCTTTGCTGCCTAGTTTGGGGGCAGGGAGGGAGAGGGAGGGATTGCTTGAATTAAGCGCCTAAACGGCTTTCTAAACTACCGATATAATGTTGGGGAGTGAACTCTTTTTTTTGTTTGAAACATATTGTACATCGTTGCAGACTGGCCTTCCTGGAATTTTGGGGGATAAAGGAACTTTTAAGAACTGTATTGGACGAGATTGAGGAAAATCTCATGTTTTGTCAGTGGCAAGTAGATCAGTTATTTGCCGTAGCCAAAGATTGAGACAAATAAGTGATCTGCGAGACACTGATAATCACGATATTTTTACGATAACCGAGTACAATAATTGTTTTATCATTCGATCACCAAATACGTTTTCATATTTATATCACTCGCTGACAGCCGCAGGGAAGCGATCTGTCATTTTTCACACAAGAGCGTGGTTACAACTATGCATGAGCAGAATGTTACTTGCAGCCAAACTTCATTCGAAGGCATTATGCATGAGCAGACCATTATTTGTAGGCAGTTATTTGCAGGTCACGTGGTGGGCTCTCGGTCAATGAAAAGGGAGAAAAAATTCATTGAATATTTTCGGGATAAATTCGTGAGAAAAAGAGATACATATTAATTAATCGTAACCTCGGAAAATAGGGCAAAATGGAGGCAACATAATGCGATATTTTCGGTGAAAAGATGCCTAAGCCCCCCCTCCCCACCCCACCCGGAATCAAGAGCATCATCTTTATTTCTGGCGGTGTGGCGTACAAATTTTCCCAATTATAGGGCTAAATGATGGCTGTCCTTGGGATTTGAAATTTATTCTTCATCTTAACAAATATGTCAAATGTCCGACGAAGCTTCATTGTTGTGGCAGACAAGGAAAAACGCGCCTTGAATTAGCGCGACACTGCACCCCTCCCCTGGAGTAAAAATTCTTTTGTTGTGATAAAAAGCACTTTACTGTCATCAGTAAAGTCATCGCAGAATCCAGCGAGGTGAATCGAAGATGGATTTGCGAGGGCTTGCTAGCCTTGTGAATTTCTTAAGTAAAGCTGCTTTGTTCTGTCTCCTTCATCTGGCAAGTACTGCAAGTGAATCAGGTTAGAGACATTTTAGTTCTATACGTTTCATTACGTCTGTATCACGGCTTATCAGTCGAGAAACAAACTTCGCATTACTATATGAATCAACCTGCCACTGTCTAGCACGTATGGAAAAACATTGCATAATGAGTCCAACAAAATTAGGATGTTTCGACCCTTACGGGACAAACACCTCGCGCTCTGAACTGCAAGCGGCAATAGTATTACTGAACTACGGTGCGGGAGAGTCGAACCGGGATTTCAAAACATGACGAAGCTACCATCTGCCGCTCAAGGACTGATGTAAACCGAGCAATATACACGACCACGCTGCATATTATCCATGCGCTTAGTCATGCAGAACGTTTCGCAACACAATTCGGTGAAGTACTTTTGTCTTAAAACGAATTGAATGGCTTCCTAAGGGATACGAGCTTGATTTAAACAAAAGACGTACACTGATAAATTGAAAATATTAGAAATGTTCAGTAAAAAGCTGCTGCCGAACTATATTTTAATGCATGTCGAGGTCCAAAATCATTGAAGCTAATCTGCTATTCAATATCGCGTGTTTTCTGTGTAGGTGAAACCAAGTGGGAAGTTTGTCATTGTTTACTTACAAGTGAAACTTGCTCTAGGATTAAAGAGTTGAGCTAAGTTAAAGTTAGGAAAGTTGCATTGATTTTGCTGAGGTACCCATAGTCAACGGTTAGAGCTAAACGCGAAACTGCAAATATTACGCTGTCACGATCACGTCAGGCCCAATACAGTAAATTTCTCAGTTCGTCGACCCCTTGGGTCGTTGCCAGTGGGGACAATGATCACATGCATAAATACTTGATAATGCTTCGATCACGTACTTTTACTTTTGCATTGCTGTTAAGTCGGGCTTAGGATAGCTTTATTCGGCTCTTTTACAACTTCGCTAGCAAATGGAATTAAGCCGCCGCCGGTTAATTAAACAGTCATAAAGAAAACCTTGAGAACAACAAGCTCTGCACTCGGCGTTCGGCAACATCTGCATCTAATCCGCCATTTTAGATCGAACGCTTAGAGCCTGGCTTAAGTCTCATCTCGCAGATACTTGTGGGACCGTACTAGGGACAAATCAAAAGACGAGAAACTGTATTGTCACCAGTTACGGTCCCACAAGCGACTGCGAGACTCGCCCCCGATTTTTGCTAATTTCTAAAGGGGAGAATGGACTCAGACGTAGTTTCACGCTGTGAGTTCCGAGCTTCCGCGTCCTAACGTTGCTCATGCGTTGTTTACTTCCAGTGACTCCATCTTTGTGCCCCGTGGAAACTTTTTTAGAGACGAAACTGTACTGTGTAGCGGACTGTGGCCCTGGCTACTATGGAGACACCTTAACAAACACCTGTCAAAAGTGTTCCTCCAAATGCAAGACGTGTCGGAACGGCGAACTGAATGACCTTTGTACAAGTTGCAATCCTCCATTTTATCTCCAAGGTATCAGGTTATATTTTTATAGGATACCTGTAACAGACAATTGCACGTAACCTCTCCACCCCCATGATCAAAAGGTGGGATAACAAGAAAACAAGAGTTCTATAGAGTAGCAACATCGATTGTCAACTCGTGAGCACTAGCTTTCATTGAAAATTCTTGTTTTTCGGCCATTTCAATTTCAGGAGAAAGAGAAAACAACCAGCAGATGTAGTTTCTTTTGTTCATTGTTGTCTAGCTAGTTACCAATACCTCGCTTTAGTTTTAATAGCTAAGGATGGGTTACAAACAACGAACTGAAAAATTTAGGCTAAATTTTTCAATATGTCCAAACCGTGACGTAGCTCCCTTAAATCTGCTTAAATTTATATTAGGGTCAATTAGAAAGTTTGCCAGTTTATGCGCAAGTGACATGAATTCTGCCTGTACTTTCAATTAGTTCAACCTGCCCCTCATGGTGGTCTTCGAGACCTCAGTCCATTTGTCTTTCCTCTCATTTGGCCAATGCCGCGGCCTTGTATGGTTTTACGAGGGTAGTAAAGGGTATTTTCGTGACCCGTGGTCGGCGCTTTTTATTTCCTGTGAAATGTGAAATAGCCATTTTTTTT